AGTTTTATTAATGAAAGCATATTGGATTATATATGCAATACATCTGTCCTTACACGTTATTGTACGAAATTAATATTTTGTTTTTTGGGGAACTATTTTGAATGACAAGTGAATTTACTTTTTTATTGTTTTTAATTTTGCGATGTTATTTTTTTTAATTTTTGAATTTATATATGTTGAAATTATTTGGAATTTATTGTTGTATTTTAGTTTAAATTTGTCGTGAAACATTTTTGATGAGAAACTTTTGCTTTTAAAACGCTTTTACTTATCTAAATTTTTTACTTTCATTTCTGACTTTTAGTGTAAATCGTGTGCAAAAACCACTTTTTTTTTTCTCAGACATTTTGGGCTTTAAATCTGAAATGTAAAAAAAGAAATAGATAAGTAAAATCGTGAAGTTTCTTGCCAAATGTATTTGGCAAAAAATTTTTTGCAACCCGGTCCGTATATGACAGCTGTTCAGAGGATTTATCTGTATACTTCCTCCCCCCCCCAATATCCAGACTTTTTAGAAAGTTTGGTTTTTCTCTACATTTCTTTAACCATTTTTCATTTCACTGACTTTCAATGATTCTCCATGCTAGTCAGAACATGGTTATAATCCTGTCTCATCAAGATTATGCCTTTCAGAAATTAGAAAACTGATGACTAGAAATACTAACTTCCTAAACATCAATTATATCATGGATTCTGACAAAAATTTATAAAAAATCACATAAAGAACACAAAATTTGAGCATATTAGCAATAATGAAATAACACTAACTTTAAACTACGGTCTATTCTATATTTAAGTCAATAATAAAATATTTCCAGGTACTGTTCTGTTTTGAGGGCCGTAAGAAAATTGCAGCAAAAATGTATGCACGAAAGCCCATTTAACTGCACGCTAAATCTAGCGTACGCGTTGATTTCAGATTGCGTAAGTTTATATAGTTCTATATTTCTTAAGAGGCCTTTTGAAATACTAGTTTAATTTCCTAGGGATTTAACAATTTGGGAATTGCCCATGACGAAAGTCGGCAATAGAATTTTGGGTAAAGTGCAGAATCACCCACTGCTTCATGAGTTTTTAAGAACTGCACATACTCGGTATCCATGTGCACATCGACCTATTTTCACTTTAAAAAAAATCCTAGAATTGCACAAAAATGGCACTGCGCACACCCCTGACTTTATCTATGTACACATCGACCTATTTTCACTTAAAAAGTAAAAGAAAATTGACAAAAATCCAATTGTTTTTATTCTTGTAAAAAGCAGCAAACAAATAAGCGAGCGATTCTGCACTTTACCGAGAATATTTTCAAAGAAAAGGCATCATTCATTATAGAAAATTACATTTGAATAACCAACGAGATGAAATTATGCTTTAGCGATAAGTCCGTAGCGAAATAGCAATGAAGGCATCCATTCAGTTATGATACGGAATTTTTTATATAAATTATAATAATGATCTGAAATAGTTATTTACTCTTATGCTTTCATTCAGTCATGTTAGCCTTTTTCATATAAATTATAATGATAAAAAAGTACTATATGAAATTAACCTTTCATCTAAATTAAAACATCAATTTTAGATAGTTATTTACTATTATACTTTCTTTCTTGCCACAATTATTAGGGTTGCCACAATTCTTTTTGGCAGCATTGGCATCAACAATAATTTGGCGATTTTTTACGGCCCTCGAAACCGAATAGTACCCATTTCCAAAACACTTTTCTGCTTGCAGCACATAAAATAAGTGTGAAAACTGAGAACTAAGGTTCTAAACAAGTGAGAACTTAAGTTCTAAAACTAATTTTTTAAAAAACTCTTGCTACAAGTTCTCAGTAAATTTCACATCTTGTTTAACATAATTAAACATTTTAGCAAATGTTACCACGTGTCTTCATTCCCAAAAGATTAATTTATAAGCATACAATTCAAAAATATATAAAATTCAACGAATTAAATATTTCCAAGAGAATGATCTAAATAAAGAGTTTCAAACAGGCAGCACATGGGCTACGTGCAGTCACCAAAGCAATTTTTTGTGGCCTGCAAAGATATTTCAATTATGATGTTGCAAAGATTTCAAGATTTTTATTTGAAGGCCGAGCTGACATTTTTATTTACATTGAAAATGAACAGCAGAAAATCTGCAAATAGAGCTAATTAATTTACATTATGATATAAATCAGTACTATTCCGTTTTGAGGACCGTAAAAAAATTGCAGGGAAAATGTATGCACAAAAGCGCCAAATCTAGCACACACGCTCATTTCAAATTGCGTAAGTTTAGATAGTTCTACATTTCTCAAGACGCCATTGAAATACTAGTTTAATTTTTAAATACTTTTTTGATATCCTATGGATTTAACAATTTGGGAATTGCCTATGACAAAAAGTCTGCAATAGAATTTTTTCAAAGAAAAGGCATCACTCATTATAGAAAATTATGTTTGAACAACCAACAAGATGAGAGACCAACCAACGAGAACAATTATGTTTTAGCGATAACTCGGTAGCAAAATAGAAATTTAGGAATCCATTCAGTTATGTTTAGCCTTTTTTAATATGAATTATAATAATGATCTGAAATAGTTATTTACTCTTATGCTTCCATTCAGTTATGTTTAGCCTTTTTTTATATAAATTATTATAATAAAAAAAGTATTACAGTACAAAGTCCATAATCCGGACTCGTTGAGACTTCGGCGATTCCGGATTAGGGTTTTTTCCGGATTATAGATCATCAATTTAAATTTGGTAAGATGGCATGCAGAAATTATACAATTAAAAATATGAAACCGTAATTTATGAAATAAAGAGCAATTATGATCTAAAGGGTATTAAATTTCACAAAAAAAAAAGCTTATTATTTATTTGTTTACTTTATTAAACATTTCGGTGAATCTTCGCATTATGGTAACTTGGCGATTTTTTGGCCAAAATTTGGCGACCAACCCTGCTACAGCAACTTGCTAGTGTTTTTTTTTTTTTTAATGCCATTTTGTTTTCACAAAGTAAAGGCATTTTTTTTCTTTTTTTTTTTAACTCAACATGTTTTCCAACAATCTGCTAGCCAAATTACACTTATGCTAGATCTTTTATGGAACAAAAGGGCTTAATCATGACGAAGATTAGATGCGAAATTGGGAGAAAGTGCAGAATCGCCCACTGCTTTACATGCTTTTAAGAATTGCACATACACGGTATCCATGTACACACCGACCTATTTTCACTTAAAAAAACATCCCAGAATTGCAGCAAAATGGCATTGCGCACACTCTTGACTTTATCCATGTACATATCAACCTATTTTCACTTAAAATGTCAAAGAAAATTGACAAAAATCCAATTCTTCTTACTCTTGTAAAAAGCACCAAACAAATAAGTGGGCGATTTTGCACTTTAGCAGCGAAATTGTTTTTAAGTGCTTATTAGCTAAAATCCCGATCGAAATTTTCCGGAAAATGCCAAATATAATAAAAACATCTGCCCTGAAGATTAGGATAGTGCCGACAGATCAACTTCTAGTTCATCGCGTCCCGCAACGCTTTCCTTAAAGACAAAACTTTTCTTAAAGTTTTTTTATAATTTGTTTTAGTTCAGATAGAAGTCAGTTATTTATTGATAAATTAAACATATAAGAATTATTTGAAGGAAATGTCAGTCTAAAAATATAATATTTACCTGTCAGTATATTTGAATTACAAAGTACAACAAAAATATCTTATAGGTATCAATTCATTATATTCCACTAACCAATACAATTCATGTACTAATTAACCAATGTAATTTCAAGTAACTTCACGTTGAAAATAATCAGTAACAAAGGTTAAAAAAAAATAAACAAATTTCTGGCCATTCCCAATGCAAGTGCTAGATCAAAGTTTTTGGTGGGTCATGAAATGTTTTGAAGCATTATTTTAAATTTATAATCTTTAGATATATATATATACGTATATACGTGTGTGTGTGTCTGTCATGATTTAATGCATAGAAGAAAACACTGGAACTTTTAAGAGCTTTAGATATCCGTCATGGCTGAGGGTTGAATATGTGAGGACAACACAACTGTATTCGCACATATCAAATGATTTCTTAACATACAAGATACTTCTAGATCATACGCAATTACAATAATTTTTATCTACACAGGTAAAGAGATACAATGCCATTTTAAACAAGTGGGCACAGCAGCATGCAGATATTGGAAGGCAAGAAGCTAGGAAAAGGAAGAATGACGTACTTAACTTGCGAGTGGTATTTACACCAAGTATATGTAGAAAGTACTCTAAGCTACGATTGGTTAATTTTTAGTTTTTGTTACCTTTTTCAAGCAACGTTATACAACATAGAAAGATCTCAAATTTGGGAGAACAGATGAATTTAGAGGAAGAGCACAAAATCTTGAACTGTTAATTTTGAGGTTGTCAATTATTTCTTAAAGCAGTCATCATATTTTATTATATTATATATATATTTCATCTGCAAAACTGAATTCATTTATTATTTTCAATTATTTTTAATAGTAATGTACATTTATTGTTATTTCTCATAAAATTTTCTTCTTCTAGGAGTATTAAAAAAACCTATGCATGCGAGTTTAAGATAAAACAAGAAGCACTATCTTATTACATACCAGATTCAGTATTCTCCCAAAGATGGTTCTGCATATCATTTGTAAAACTCAAGTTTTAATAATACATTAATTTTATAAATGCAGAGAGAAACTAACAGCATAAACTTAATTGAAATCGTATAAGTGCCTTCATCAGCTTGTTACAGAGCCACACAAATAATATTTACATCTGAATGAAATGAATTTATAATTCATTATACTACACGTTTATTATAAAAGACCAAAAAAAACTAACAAGAAATGTTATACATGAATATTTTATATTTAATTGTAAATACACCTTTATTTTAACTTCAGTTTCAAACAGTTTTTTTATAGTTTGACATGGCATGCACAAAGAAAAGGAGCATACGTTTTTGCAACTTACTATGTGAAGCACGAGACTGCTCCAAATGACAATCCATACTTTCTCCTCCTGAAGTTATATCAATCATTTCATCATCACTACTCCCAGACAATGAAAATGGCTTACGATGAATAGTTTCACAATTCAGATCTCTAATAGTTGAATCACTACAGCCGTTTACAGAGCGATACTTAGGTTGATTTTGATTCTGCGATACTCTGCGACCATTTTTTGTCCATCTGACTAATATTTCAGTCTCCATAATATGGATAATATAGAAGTAACTGCAAAATAGACAAATCGTGGATCATTGTATAATGGCATTCAGAAAATTTCATTTTTAATCTAGAACTCAAAGGAATGCAGATTTACTAAATATTTTATTGGCAAAAATAACGAAATATTACAGCTACCATTTTTTGTCCATCTGACTAATATTTCAGTCTCCATAATATGGATAATATAGAAGTAACTGCAAAATAGACAAATCGTGGATCATTGTATAATGGCATTCAGAAAATTTCATTTTTAATCTAGAACTCAAAGGAATGCAGATTTACTAAATATTTTATTGGCAAAAATAACGAAATATTACAGCTACCTTGAAATATAAATTTAAATTACAAAGTTAGAAGCACAAAAATGAAAACTAACACAGAATTTAATTTAACTTTCAAGAAAATGAAAATTACGTTTTTGATTGAACACACAAGAAACTAATTTTTTTTTTTTTTTTTTTTTTACCCCGGGTAACAAAACTACTATCCTTTTATAAACAGTTGCTGAAGTAATTCTCTACAAACATATAACCACATGATTGAACTTCGATACAGCATGTAATTCAACATTCGCCAAATAACACGTTTAAACTTTTCCTTTAGTACAATACCGTTAAAAGGCTAGAGAGAATACAGTTCAAAGTTTTAAGATCTAACATATATATACATATAACAAAACAGCTATTGACAGCTGTTAATAATTCCTTCCAATGGTTTTCACGCATTCAGCTCTTTATAACATCCAGGCCAAATCTGCCGAATTGCAGCAACGAAATTAAGAATTTAAATACATTCTTGCAAAATGAAACTGTTTTTAAAAGTGTTTTGCGGTGCTGCAATAATGCAACTGTACGTACTTTATACTTTTTTTACGAGCATATACATGCGTTTAAAAACTCTATGCAATTTCAATTCACAAAAAACTGCATATTATGACAACAAAATCTCATTTGACTAGCAGATAAAATGTAAAATAGTCATTCTAGAAAAGAATTTCTGGATTACAACATTAAAAATTAAAATTATGAAATTTGCTCACCATTTTTGGGAACGTTCTAATCCAAGAATTTCAAGACTATATTATATTAATAAATTTTATAAATAAATGTATATAAATCTGGCTATTTACACTTTAAATAAAATTTATAAATTATGTAAATAAACAGTAACACCACACTCCTCAACAAACGGCCAGATCCCGATTTTCCGTGTGCCTATATACATTATTGCATCGGCTACGGAAAGATGTAAAACTGCATTGTGCAAATTGGGTCCGAAATTCTGGCCTCCACCAGATGGCAGTGCAGTTCTTTATCGGGCATTCGAACCAAAGAACGTCTATATATACTCTATACAATATATACTCTTTGTTCCAACGTAATAATTTATGCGCATTGCAAGGAAACAAGATAGCGAGAAACATTTGCATAAAGTGATCTGCTAGAGCGATGGATTACGTATATAGTATTGTACGTACCTAAATTACAGTGGCGTGCGGTAGGTTTTCATGCAGGGTGTGCAGAGAACAATAATAATAATAATAATAAAACCATAAAAATGTACATTAAACACTTCTTTAACTTTTTATTATTCATTTGTACACAAAATCCATACGTCTATCCACATTACTAACAAAATCATCAATTACATGATCATAAAACTCTGGTTTTTGACTGTAATAAGTGTAACATTTCTTTTCCTATTGTTATAAGAGATAAATTTAGATCCTGGCTCATTGTATTGCGTGCATAATTTCTTACTCTTTTTAATGCTGAAAATGATCTCTGCATCGAAGCCTTTGAAAATGGAATTGTACAAATTAAATGTGCCAATTTATTTACTTCGCTTAGGGCCTCTGTCAAATCATTCAGCATTATATGCTGAATAAGTTTCGATAAATTCATTTCGTGGTATGACTCACTACGATAAAGAACGCATAATTCATTGGTTAGCTTTACAAAATCGAAATGTTTTGCATAAGGGTTCTTTAATGAATTAAGGCATTCATCCGGAAATTTACTGTGATATTTCTTAAAAAAAACTGAAATTCAATAGTTCAAAAATTTTGAGCGAATTTAATTTTTTAAAACGGACATCTAAATGACAATAAATAGTGTCCATTATTTCAAAATATAAATTTTTAAAATGTTGGTCTTGGTCTACACTTGATTTTTATAAATTTACACGACGTTTTCTTAAATTTGGGGGACCCACTGCAGAAATAGTCTCTTCATAAACTTCATCAAATGCAACAGAAGTTCGCATATTTTGAATTGCATCTTTTACTTCCTCTACTTTTTCACTAGAATATGCTATATCTAAGTTAGTTTTTTGTAAAATATCAAATAGAACATCAGTATAACTAAACACTTTTGGCAAAAATATTTAGGAGAAAATTACCGTTAAATTCTTCAAAAAACATGTGATAACTCTTTGCAATATTAATTGTATCGTTATCCCAGCCTTCTGGGTTCTCAATAATATTTTCAAATAAATTAGATAGGCCTTGCCTTTCGCTTTTTAAGGTATTTACCAAACGAGATGAATAGTTCCAACGTGTTGTAGCTAATTTTGGAAATTTTCTTTTAATAATTCTAATTAACATGATTTCTCTTTGTAGACACCGAAAAAAATGAGGCTATGCCAGAAATTGTTACAGAAAATAATTTACAATCTTTTATAAACAATACAGATTGCGACAGAACTAAATTAAGTACATGTGCGCAACAATGCACAAACATAGCTTCTGGGAAAATGACTTTTACTTTTTTCTGCATCCCATTCAACGCTCCTGCCATGACTGCTGCCCCATCGTACGTTTGAGCAATCAGTTTATTTTGACACCCCCAACTCAAAATCCTTTCTTGCACAACATTACGCAAAGCTTCCGCTGAACGATCACCACTAACATCTTTAAAAAAACAAAAATCTTTCCACTGATGCACTATTAACTCCATTCGACACAAGTCGTAGCACAGCCGATAATTGCGATTTGTGAGATATGTCAGATGTTTCATCCAGCATAATACAACGAATGGCGTCTCTTTTACCTCATTTCTAATTTATGAAATTGCAATATTTTTTATCTAGGCAATAATATCATTTTGTATTCTATTAAAGGTTCCAGAAAATACAGTTGCAGTTCTTAGATGGGTTGCTAAAAAGCCATCATATTTACTAATTAAAGTTATTAATTCTATATAATTTCCTCGATTAAGAGAATTTATATTCTCATTGTGTCCACGAAATGCATCTTCTTGGTTTGCTAAGTAACAAACTACATCTATTAATCGCTTGAGAATATTTCTATTTCTTGTTACTTTTTCATTGTGTTGAACAATCGATGAAGTCTTTTTGTTGATCTAACATTAAATCTATCCTGGCGGTACCAAATGTTTTTAATAGTATTACGGCATTTATGTGGGATTGCGTTTTTTCATGTTTCTTTGCAGCTTCGTGGAGATGATTTAAATCACTGTAGCCTTGTTTTGTCCAAATATTCTTGTCCTTTTCAATTACAACCAAAAGTAAACATGGCCAACAGTACAACTTATTCAATTCACTACAACCGGTTAACCATTTAATTTTTTCATACATAGATTTTTGAAAATGTCGTACACACTGTTGTCCTTTAATCTTAACGTTTTGCAATAGAATAATATCCGGCATCGGTCTACTTAATTTAACTATTTCGTTTTTTGTAGTAACGTCTCGTCTCGAAAATGGATTTTCCAATAAATCTTTAATTATTGAGACATCTGAGTTCTCCATTCTGAAATTGGTTATTTATTATGAATATAAATTTAAAGAATACAATAAATAAAATATTTACCTACGAGTAGTCGAGGTATAACTATAAAAACAGCTAAACTTACGAGAATTTTACTAGCACTGAAGCAAAAATCATGTCTTGTGTTGTATGGTGTCATATCGGCGGCGAAAAAGCAACGCTTCGGCCTTCCACGAAAAACTTATATTTTCAGCAAACGTAGCACCACACGGCGCCCGACGCTGCGGTGCCTCATCATCAGCCTGATGACATCAGGATGAGTCATCAGGATGCTCATTGGTGCCGACAAACCGAACGTCTATTCCACGTCCAAAGAATTTCACTGCACGCTGGCACAATAGAACAAACTATTTTTTGTTCGGTCAGTGGATTAAATTATATTTATTAATTGTTTTTAACATTTGGAAATCATACTATATTCTGCGAAAAACATGTTGACAATTTTTAAAAACAAAGCCAGGGATATGGTGTTAGACAAATAATAACTTATATACTGTCTGTAATATAAAATGAATGGTAAAATTTGGACTGTTCTGTTAAAATTCGTTTCTTTTTTGTCTAACAAAACAAAATTGTTTTTCAGCGAATTATTTCTATAAATATAATACATCACCGAAATTACTTTACCACACTAAAACATTTCCTCTTATATTGGTGAAATACTTCTTTTATATTTCCATAAAAACAAAATCTTACAAAATATAAATTTAAATATTAACCGTCTGCAAAATCGTATGGCCAATTAATCAGCTAAAAAACCAAAAGCGCTTCAGCACGTAAAGTCCCCGGTCTAATACAACGCTTAATAAACCGTACTTTCGGATGATTCTGAATGGCAAGTTCATGAAAAATAGCTCCACTTGCCTCAGTGCTATAGTATGCTGTGCTTCAAAATACTGCAGTTTTAATTAGATAACATAAGCATATTTCCATCGCAGTTACATCAAAATTTTAATTTGAAATAATATAAATAATATTTTCACATACATACACATAATGATTCACATTTTATGTTTTCAGAGCAGAAAACATTGTAAAATTGTAAACATCGTAAAATAAGTTTCAAAAGTAGCTAGTTATTTAATACATGTGCAGATCATATGAGCGGACGTGTTGCGTTAGTGGCAGCCAATCTAAAGTTAGTAATGTAGTATTAGCAAACATAGTACTAGCAAGAAGTTTCATGACAAAAATGTGTTGTATTCTGATTTCTTTAAAACTAGTGGAAGTTCTGATTTAGGTAAATTACTTTCCAGTATTTCTAAAAATTCTATAAGGGACAATAAGTGCAAAAAGCGCATTCAGGACATGCAAGATTGTTTTTGAAGCAGGAGACTTGAAAAATGAGCAACGCCTTTCCCGGGAATCGAACCACGGACCTCTGAAATACGCGCCTAACTTGCAGACCACTACACCACGCTAAGAAGGCGGGAGAAATACCTTATATACTCCCCCTTTTAAAGAGCGATTGAGGTTTTTTTGGGAACCCAATCGCCAAATCCTGGGTGTGGAAATTCATCATCCACCACCCTTTTAGTTTGGGCGCCACTGTAGAGACATTAGGCTAATTTTGAAAGAGAAAGAAATGAGAAAAATGAGCAATGCCTTCGCCGGGAATCAACACGGACCTCTGTAATACGCCCCCAGCCTGCAAACCAGTACACCACGAAGGCACGCTAGGAAGATGGGTGAAATACCTTATAAGATAAGGATGGTTTCACTTCCCTTAAAAGAACTGCTCGACCTATAAGTTAATAGAAATTTTTTATGTGTATTTTAATAATAAAGTCGATGTTCTCTGTAAAGATAATGCATATTTTGCGCAGGTTATGGATCAAAGCAATGCCCCTGCGGCGGCGGAAGCTCTCAGTGCGACTAGAATCAAACCCGTTATGGTAATCCCTTCACCCATTAAAGTTTAGTTAATGTGTGGAGAAACTGGTTGAGGAAATTCTATTTCGTTTACTACCAGAATTTCTGGTAAATTTCTAAAACTATTTCTGACTAATATCGGTGATCATAGATCTATCACCGATTATTTATCCAGGAATAAAGTAGACCATTGTGTAGTACATGGAAAGAAAATGCGACCTCTCAAGGCTATTACTAAAGGAATACCTTCGAATTGTCCTACCGATGACAAGAACTGATACATGAAGGTTTCAGTGTTATTAAGGTAAAACAAATGATTAGATTTAGGAACTAGATTCCACATGCCTATGTTTTAGATTCAATTAGTGAAGGAATCTGGATCTGAAAAAATTTATGACATTACTAGTTTGCTGTATCTATAGAGGCGTATGAATTCAAGGGTGGTCTGACTCAATGCCACAACTGTCACCATTTCTTTCATTCCGCTGACGAGTGTAAACTCAAGCCGAGGTGTGTAAAATATTCACTCCCATATAGCACACCTAAGGCCTGATTCAAATGCATATGCAGTATTAGCGATCACTTTTGAAAACGAGTGATTTTTTGTATTCAATTGAAACACTTCCCTACCAGTCG